CTATCTATCTATCTATCTATCTATCTATCTATCTATCTATCTATCTACGCTTGTTCTTTTTACATATAGGACTCTTGTAAAGAAACAGGCAAAAATAAACGTTTTTAGGTTTGTGGGATCTTTAGTAGAGATCAAGTTTTTTGAAAGCCCACCTTTATTTCTACTTCCTATTGTTCTCTTGGGGACTTATTGGTAAAATGCATTATCTGTAATAATCTGCTATATATGTGTGTGTGTGTGGAAGAGCATTTTATTTCTCCTCAACATTTTGCTTAAATGTGTTGGAAAATGTAAATTTTCTGGTGGATTTCAGAGAATGAGCTCAGTCTGGTTTGAAGCTGGATTACTGAAATGGCTAGAAGCTGCTAGCTCAAACTGATCTGTTTTGTTCCTTGTATTATTAGTATCATTAGTTATTACACATTTGCATAAATATAAACAAAAAACTACTAAAACTAACCTTTCCTGTTATTGGTCTTTTTCTTATGGAAGACATGCTCAAAATCAAAGTTTCTTTATTTAATACTAATAAATAAAAGTGCTATGTGTTGTCATCATTATATGTTTCCATGCAATGACGAAATTGGCTCTCTGCATTTAACCTATTGCACCAGCATACACCCAGGTGGAGCAGTGGGCAGCTATGTAAGCGCCCGGGGAGCAATTAGGGATTATGTGTCATGCTCAAGGACACCACGAGATGTGCAGTGACCGGGGATCGAACCCAGGACCTTCGGGTCCCGAGTCGGCTGCCATGCCCCTACACCATTTCGGCCCTTATTTGTCATGTGCTCATGTCCTGCTTGAAGATTTTAGTAATTTATTGTGTTTTACTTTTAGGAAGCTGGAGCCATGGGTTTTCTCTTCAGTCTTGGATGAACTGAGTGAAGCTGGATCCACACGAGTCCACCAACCTCCTCCTGCCTACAGCAGGAGCTCCCCTTTCCCCGTCGCTCTCTCCAGCCATGGCAGGCTTCAAGCGGGGATATGATGGCAAGATTGCTGGTCTGTATGACCTTGATAAGACGCTGGGCCGTGGCCACTTTGCCGTGGTCAAGCTGGCACGCCATGTCTTCACTGGGGAAAAGGTTGCGGTCAAGGTGATTGATAAGACCAAGCTGGACACTGTGGCCACAGGTCACCTCTTCCAGGAGGTCCGCTGCATGAAGCTGGTGCAGCACCCCAATATTGTGCGCCTGTACGAAGTGATAGACACTCAGACAAAACTTTACCTCATCTTGGAGCTGGGAGATGGAGGAGACATGTTTGACTACATCATGAAACACGAGCAAGGTCTAAATGAAGAGCTGGCCAAAAAGTATTTTGCCCAGATAGTCCATGCAATCTCCTACTGCCATCGTTTGCATGTGGTGCACAGGGACCTCAAGCCCGAGAACGTGGTGTTCTTTGAAAAACAAGGACTTGTTAAACTCACTGACTTTGGATTCAGTAACAAGTTTCAACCAGGAAAAAAGCTAACCACCAGTTGTGGATCTCTGGCATACTCTGCACCGGAAATACTCTTAGGCGATGAGTATGATGCTCCAGCTGTAGGTATGTAACACCCGAAGGCCAGTGAGTGATGTTCTATTGATGTAATGAGTCATGCTCTTAATTACAGAAAACATATTCAGATGTGCAGCTGACTACTAATGGAACTGAGCCTTTACAGCTCAAGAATGAAAGTTTATTACTTTTGCAATTTTGCCTCAAATTATTTATTGACTGTTTTAAGTAATAATCACTAGGTTTGTTGTCTTTGGCATGAACTTAGCCTTTAACCCACTTATGAACCACCTATAAACCCTTTCACAAATTGTGTCAAAAGTGTAAAAATAGATTGTTTCAAGCAAACGACACAGGGACCTTTCTGGGAGCTGGAGTTTGTCCCAACATATTGCCTGTGTTTATAAAATGTCTGTCAGTCAGCCATATTTTCAGGACTACACGTAACTGAATAGTTACTCAGTGGTTTGGGTTTTAATATCAGCAGTGTTCGTCTTACTTTAATAAGCTGTTAACTGACTTGCTGCTTGTCGTCAACTGAAGGCCCTGTGGTACAAGGTCAGCTCATGTTCATGGCTGTCCCATTGTACTGAATTAACTGTCTCATTGATTTTCCATGTAGACAAAGTGCAGACAGACATATCGTGTGTCTGTTTGCGTCAGTAGATGAAATCTTTTATATAAAGTCACTGATTTAAAATGACCAGCACTGAGTTCAGACGTTAAGTCAAAAACACGACATTTTCAAAGCCATTTTTTCAGTAGGTGTTTTTGTGCATGCGCTGCTAACCCTGAACAAGTCTGAAATTGGTCTCATGAGTAATTATCCACCTAGTAAACACTTTCTAAGCTGTGCTTTTTAATACAGTCAACAAGTTATTTGCTTCCTCTTTTTTCTCAGATCTCACAAACATGAGAGGTGTGGCAGAGGAAACTGTGGTTACTTTATTTCAGTTCTTACACACACGATGGCAGAGGCACACGCACATCCGATGCACAGCAGCACTGTAGTTTAGGGCTCGTGTATCGCTCTGCAGATTAGTCAGAGGTCATAATCAGAGTAGCAGACTTTATAAGATGCGCAATATGAAATTAACATGGACTGCATAAAAAGCCTTTTAGTGGCTAAAGAGAGATGTGAGCACCATGTGCAATAAATTAAAACTTATATAGTACCAGCTTTTATCACCTAAAGGTAGCAATATGTTTGTTTGTGTGTTTTTCTGTTAGCAAAATATCTCATGAATTAGATAATAAAAAAATTAAAGTATTTATTAAATATGCACAGATGATTACCATTTGAAGTCATCTTCATTAAAGATGGCTGCCACAACTAATCGATCTTTTCCAACTGAAAAATATCTACAACTCAGGTACTTTGTTAGCATGATTAATTCTGTCACTGCCATGGGATCTCCAGTGTCACCCATTGTTGCCAATCTCTACATGGAGGAAGTGGAACAGAGAGCTCTAAACTCCTATGAGGGAACAACGCCAAGCCATTGATTCCATTATGTGGATGACACCTCGGTCAAAATCCAAGCCAAGGAAATAGAAGCGTTCACCAGACACATTAACTCGGTCGATAACAACATCAAGTTCACCAGAGAGGATGCAAACGACAACAAGCTGCCTTTTTTGGACTGTCTGGTTCAGATGGAGAGAGAGGACAGCCTCAACATTGAAGTTTACAGAAAACCAACCCACACAGACCAGTATCTTCTGTTTGACTCCCACCATCCACTGGAACACAAACTCTCTGTCATCAGAACTTTACAACATCAGCCCAAAAGCGTCCCCACGAAGACAGAAGGGAAGGAAAAGGAACAGAAACACATTCAAGAAGCTCTTCAAACATGTGGATATCCTAACTGGGCTTTTGTCAAGTCAGCGAGGAAATCTACAAAACACCCTAATAAACAGAAAAAGGAGAACAACAGACGTAAAAACATTGTCATCCCTTACGCTGCTGGAGTATCAGAAAAATTCAGAAGGATCTTCAACAAACACAAGATCCCAGTACATTTCAAACCCAGCAGGACTCTCAGACAGAGGCTGGTCCACCCTAAGGACAAAACACCCATACACAAACAGAGTGGTGTAGTGTTTGTGGTCCAGTGCAGCGAGGACTGTCCAGACCTCTACATTGGAGAAACTAAACAGCCTCTTCACAGACGCATGGCTCAACACAGGAGAGCCACCTCCTCTGGACAAGACTCGGCTGTTCACCTCCACCTCACAGATAAGGGACACTCTTTTGAGGACCAAAATGTGCACATTTTGGACCGAGAACACAGATGGTTTGAGAGGGGGGTGAAGGAAGCAATTTATGTAAAAAGAGAAAAGCTGTCGCTTAACAGAGGAGGAGGCCTCAGATTTCCACTTTCAAAAACATATAATGCAACTTTAAACAGATTCCCAGCTGGTTTTCACACTTGATGGAAACAGAGGGGCCTCATCTGTGAATTAGAGGAACAAAGACCTACTGTTTAGGTGTTTAGGTGTGAACTGCCAATCTACATATGTGTGTGTGTCTTATCTCACTCAGCCTTATAACCTGAATCCCTTACTCACTGCTCTTTGAATTGAGAAAGCTCCTCGGATGAGGAGCGAAATGTCTTCTGTTAAAAATAAAGTCCAGTTGTTTTTGTATTGAACGTTTTTTGAATTCATCATGTCCTGGATGACTGAGAATCTTCACCAGCACGTCACTTACAATGTTTCCAAATATCTGGCGTCTGTACTCATCCCTTTAGTTGGCAGCTCAGAACATCACATACAGAACACCATGGACTTTGTGGACAAGGTGAGGGATGTCATCATGGAGACTGATGAAACAATGGTCTCTTTTGATGTCACATCACTCTTTACGTGCATTCCTGTTGATGATGCAGTAGAGGTGGTCAGTTTAAGATTAAAATCAGACACCACTCTGAGCAGCAGGACCACGCTTTCCACAGAACAACTGTGTCAACTCTTGAAACTGTGCCTGCAGTCAACCTACTTCTCATATGGGGAGCAATATTATAGGCAGAAACATGGGTGTGCTATGGGGTCTCCAGTTTCTCCTATTGTTGCCAACCTGTACATGGAGGAGGTAGAAAAGAGAGCCTTGACGTCCTTTTCAGGGACACCACCAAGTCATTGGTTCAGGTATGTTGACGACACCTGGGTTAAAATCAAACTTCAGGAAGTCCAACATTTTACTGACCACATCAACTCTGTGGATAAATACATCAAGTTCACACGAGAAAATTTAAAAAATGGCAGGACATTTACAAACTGAGCTGTACCGCAAACCCACCCACACAGAACAGAATTTGCACTGAGACGTTTATTTTCTAAACATAACGTCCCAGTGGCTTTTAAACCTCAAAATACATTACGGCAAAGACTGGTTCATCACAAAGATCCAGTCCCCCGGCACAAACAGAGTAATATTGTGTATGCTGTTCAGTGTCAGGAGGGAGATCAGTCTTACATCGGGGAAACAAAACAGCCACTGTCCAAAAGGATGGACCAGCACAGAAGATCAACATCATCAGGCCAGGACTCTGCGGTCTACACTCATTTCTAGGCCAGAGGTCACTCTTTCAGGGATGAAGATGTGCACATCCTGTATAGAGAGGAACGATGGTTTGAAAGAGGAGTAAAGGAGGCCATCTTTGTGAAAAGTAATCGTCCATCATTAAACAGGGGTGGAGGCCTCCGGGTTCAACTGTCCCCTCTTATGCCCCTTTTGCACCGCCCCTAATAAGCCCCAATTCTGGGCAGCCCGCCACAGAAAGAACCCTTTTGCACCAGCACTTTAGCTAGTATTTTTAGCAGATTTGAGGCTGATTCAGGACCTCTTTTCGTCCCTGCTTCTCTGGTGGGACCGAGCGAGCTCAGTCGAGCTGAGTCCGGACCGAAACGTGAATGCAGGACTCTGATTGGTCAGGGTGTGGAGTCA